ATAAATTAAATTATTTATAATTAAATTATTTATAATTCTTAAAATAGCTCTTACTTTTGAAAACAAATGTAAATTATAAGAATTGTAATTAAGATGCTTAAATTAATCATTTGATAGGCGCTCGTTCGGAAAGCAAGAGATTTGGTTTCGATTCCTGGCCGAGATAATATTTTTCGCAATTAATTATTTACAGATTTTAATATCACTCAGCATTGTTAAAATCATTCAAAAATACGAAAAAATCAAATTATTAAAATTGCTAGTCAATTTAACTCGTGATATTACTGCAGTTTAGTATAGAATTAGTGTTTCAAGACCGAAAAATTTCGGCGCGCGTTTCAAAGGACTACATATGTACGTAGTATAAATTCGCACAGAATTGTACAAGCATTTAAAATCTAGCTAGACCATTGATTTCTATATATATTTCTAGTTTGTATTAACATATCTAATTATTACTACTTTTCTAAGATGTTTGTTAGTATTATTCTAACATTAAGTCTAATATTATTAAATTGCTTATCAATTTAATAATTTATGTGATATTACTGTTTGTTTTATTTACGATTGTGTTTCAAAACCGAAAAAGATTTCGGTGCACGGTTTACAGAATTGGATATGTAAATAAATTCACTCTGAAATATTTAAAGACTAAATTTTGCTTTGACTAAAAATAAGAGAAATAAACCTATTTTTAGTAAAAGGTTTATTTTTCTTAATTTATTCTCATAGATCTAATATGAATTGTAATTATTGATATCTAATATGTTTTATTCTGGATGAAAGTTTCTTGAGATTTATGACTTATAATTCTGACTTATTTACCACTAATGTGACATGATTGGTAACTAATGACTTATTGTAGAAAGCCCATTAATCAGTTTCTTACGAATTAAGATTTACAATTTAGATAACGGCTTATTATAGAAAGCCTATTGGAATCTCATTCTTTTTAACTGTAACTCAATTTACGTTTTTTTATACTTGTAATTAATTTAATAATTACTTTTATAGTTATTTTATATATTTCAACTTATTCATCACAACTTATTCGTCAATATAATGGATTGACCAGAATGAGTGAACAAGCAATGATTATTTCTTGCAATTGGAACATATCTTTATCCTTGACAAAATAATTACACTTTATAAATATCTGCATTAAGAATAAAAGTCTTAATACCGATTTATGTGAATGCCTTAATATTGCTTCAATAATCTAAGTGATTTCAAGTACTATCTATTATATATATAAATAATCTATAATCAATGTAAGTTTATAAGTAAAATAATTCAGAAATGTATAAAATAACAATGTAAAAAAATAACTGGGAAGTATTTGTAAGTAACTAAAAATGACTTGTTATTCTTTAAGCAAATGTAATTAACGTGTTACAGTTCAGAATCAGTAACTTATAATGATAACTCGTAATTTTTTAAGAGAAAAAACCTGTAACTGTAACTAGTTTTACAAAGTCACTTTCCCAATCTTGCTTTTTTTAAATAAAAAAAAATCAAATCCTTTCGATTAATAAGTAATGTTTATAAAACTATATAAATTTTCGCAAATGTCTTACATTTTTTATGTTGTAAAGCTTGCTTTTTTTACTTGTATTCGCTCTTTCGCAAAGAAAAATAAAAAAGTTGTACGGAATTAAAAAAAAATTATTAATATTTAATTCTCTAAAAATAATTCTCAAATTTATATTTGTATTTTTCCTCACCTGCACCATGTTGCACTAAGAATTTGACGATATCATAATGCCCGTCGAAACATGCAGCACGGAGAGGTGTAGAATTAGTCTTTGTGATTGAATTCACCTTAGCTCCTCGTCTCACAAGTAGCTTCACTAGGGACAAGTGACCAGCGGCAGCCGCGCACCATAGAGGTGGTGCACCCTCGATTGTTTCACCCTCAAAAACCACTGTTTTTGAAGAAATATTTTAGTAAAATTTTAGTACCACAACAGAAGATTTATTAGCATTCATATAAAAACAATAATAATGTAAACGTAATAATCATAAGTAAAATCACGTGAAGTACAGTACATTGTATCAGACTATGGCGTAGACGTTGATTATAGCGACCATAATTCTTAAGCTACTTACACCAATGTAATGCCAAGAAAAAAATCTCACTTGATTTAAAAGAAAAAAAGGAGCACTAAAGCGCGTCCTTTGTCGAACGTCATTTTTTATTGAAAAATTGTTCTCAATAGTAAATAGATCAGCTCGAACAGAAGTCGTGAAAGGATTGCAGGTCTGACCTGATCCAGGCTGCTCCACGTCTGCCCCACATTTTTCGATGAGGTATTCCGCCACATCATAATGTCCATTCCGACATGCCATGACTAAGGGTGTTGCGCCATGGGTTTTGGCACCGACTAGTTGTCCTACCTCATCCTTGCCCCGATGCTCCAGGAAAACCTTTTGAGAAGAGAAAAGGAATTTTTACTCGATATGCTTAGCTTTTACAAAAATCATCGCAATATAAATACGCGGAAATGAAGTTTTAAAATACTCGCGACAACTTACGTTCGATAATACGGAACCCGTTTTGAACTGCTTATTGAGTTAGCGCGTACGTGAATAGCACGGACGTGCCGTGCGATGTGTACAGATAGATATTTCAAAGTCGACTGGTTTAAGGTTTAAGCGAATTACTGGCGCGATACTGGCTAACACTTTACACACTAAGGATTCGCTTATAACGTACGAATAATTAAATATTTAGATTTCAAAAATTCTCCGTTTCGTATCGTTCCACTTTTGAAACTTATTCTCTCTTTGATGATAATTTCTTCCGGTTCACAATTTCTTATGTTTCCAAATTCCGTTCAATATTATCCTTTTAATTGTTTTATTCTGTCTATCTTTTAATTATTCTATTCTGAATATTCGGGAGATATATTTAGATTTCAGAGTCGTATATTTAGATTTCAATAAATAAACATGATTTTTGTTCTAAATTCAATTCACTTCGAATTACACAATACAGGAAGTTTTGTCAAGATAAGACTGAAAACTGTTGTCTGGAGATAAGACTAACAGAGTTACTCGCGTCGACGTTCACTGTTGATTTGAACACCACGTGGCTATGGTACATGTTTTATTTGAACGCTAGGTGACTGGATCCTTACGTCATCGACAAGAAAGCCTCTTGCAAATCCACGAAAACGTGCAGCGCGAGATGACAAAAGTTTCAGCTTGTCCTTCGCAGTTGTACGCGAAAACGAGTTTCTCTAAGTATATGAGATTTTAAGTATTACTGAGCCAAGCGTTAAACAATATTATGACAATGTTGACAGGACATTAACGATTTATCACATTTGATCAAATAATAATTATATCATCATCGTATTATAGCCACCGATTGTAATGTCGCATCCGAGAGGATAATCCAATCGAGTCAAATTGAAGAATTCTGTATATTATTATATAGAGGCGATCGATTCGATCTATATTCTCTTCAACATCGAAAGAGTCTGCCGTTTTTAAAAAACAAATCACAATTCCTTTTTTACACGGCTTGTTTTTAATTCCTTTGAACGACAGACGTATTATTCGGGAATTATCAAGAAAACTCGGCGATTATCTCCTTCTGTTCGGAATCAGAACAGTCCACACGCGCACTCGCTTAGAAGAAGACTGAGCGCACGAACCGAATCTTCAACCCATTGCCTTCTGGAGAAATCATTCTCCGACCATCATGGACGTGCGAGTCCCGTTAAATGAATAATCGGAGACATTGGGGTTCATCGTGACAAGTAAACTGCTGCTTACGATGGGCCGCTGGGCTGCTACTGGGAGAAAGAGAGGCAGAGCCGATACTTTACAACTTTTTGTTCTTTGATTTTCTCTTTCTCCCGCATATTTCTCTCTCTTTAATGTTCCCCCTTTCCGAAGAGAGGACCTACATACTTTTCGAGAAAGCCCTACATTGTTCTTGTTGGAAAAAGAAAAAAAGAAATAACTTCATATATTAAAAAAAAAATGAATAATTATCAATAATTTTATATATATATATAAAATTATATATAAAAAAGAAAAGATGAAATTTATATGTACTGAGAAAAAATTTATTAAATTTTAATATTTCTTTGAATAATCTTAATTTAATATTTACTTATAGTAAATAAATATTTAGATAAATGAAAAAAATGATGATTAAAGCAAACTAAAATTGTCTTTGTATCTAATAAATATGTGTTATTTATATTTAGTAAATATTCCACTAGGACTATTCAAAGAAATATTTATTAGCCAATTTTTTTCTCAGTGTATTAACATAATTTTTAACAATAAGCATAATTTCTAATAAATAATTTTTAATAACAAATATATGTTAGACTTTGTTTTTTTTTGTTAATTTTAGTTTTATTTTTAAATATATAATCACATATTTAATAAGTTTAAAAATCCGAATTTCATAATTTGCAATTGAGAAGCTCGATCTTTAATAGAGATTAATAAATCTCCAGCTATTTTTATATTTCTTATTCTCTCACTTCGGTTCACACCTACGGAGAGTCGGTGCCGTTATTTGTATAACTGATTTAAATACTTTTCGTAAGATCGTTCATCCCGGTTTGACTCTCTGCTTCTCCCTCATTGTTATATTCTCGTTCGGTTCCTCGATAAAATGTAGGTAATGAGGTCAGTCGATGCCGAAACGGTCTCACAAAAGATGAGATGTTCACCTTTTAAAGATGAGATGTTCGGACTAAAAGAGTACGTGAATTGCTCGACGATAATTTTTCACTTAAGAGAAATGCAACAGTTGCAGGAAATGGTTAATGTAATAATCTATAATGATGGATGATTAATAATAATGATAAAATCATATTCGAAACGGAACTTTTTTACTTCACTCTAAATTACGTAAAAGAAATCCAAAGTGCAACAATAATAGATCTATAAATAAAAAAAAAGATAAAAAGTTGCAACGACGAAGGATCACGAGGTACAATGTAATTATGTAAAATCGCAATGTTAAATTTTTTTTTATAGCAATAAGATTTTCGCAACGATACCGGAATAGAGACGGTACGTGCTATTTCAACACGTGGTAAGAATGAAAATTTGCTTTGATTAGCACCCAACGGATATCAAGACCCGAATAACAAATTATTCTTCTCATAATGGCATTATTTTCATCATATATCTTCGTATCATTTCCGGCGTTTGTCTTTTATAGAAAATAGGTTATTGTAACAGATTTTCCTTCAGCTGTCTTTCAATGAATCAATAATCACAACGGTTTTTTTTTTACCTCCGTCTAAAAAAGAGAACATTTAAATGCTTTTGAAGCTTTCTCTACACGAGCTCATATGATATATTAATGCAGGAAAAATCGTGGAGAAATAGCGGCCACTGTTCGTCAAGTTCATCGATTCATCAACGTTTATAGCCTAGTCATAAATTCAATGCTAAAAATAATTAATGCCAGTAACCGCAGTTAAGTACCGTATGCCATGAGTTGTACAGTGTGTTTGTCTCAATGGCTGGGTGCACGTGCTGTGCAAATGCTGTGTTGTTGCAAGCGTGGAAGACACGTCCCACTTAAATTTTATGCTCGCCTTCGTAAGATTTAGTTTGCCTACGTCGCATTGCGAGAAGTAGCACATGTCGCAAAGTCATTCGTTCGCGTTGTGTCAGCGTATTATTTCGTTAAATTCGATGTCCAGAATAGACACTATCAAGAATAGACACTATCAATCTCCAATGCAAAGAGAAAAAGTGTGCAACTTTACGGTGCTTTAACACTGCGACGATATCGGTTGAAGGAAGTTTATGACAACCGATTCTATCTATTGTTTACGAAAGGAAGAGGGAATAGTAAAAGTATGAATAAACGGAATCAATGACGACGATCAATATAACGTTAATCGTTTATCCGTAGTGACCATCTCCGCAGATTAACATTGCAGAGTGATGTAACATAATAGTCATTAGTAGCATATTAAGTTACGTTATTGCTGTGTTTGTTTTTATCACATCTTATAGATAATAGATAAATAATACTACGTACATAATTTATACGCAGAATATGTTATGTATAAAGAAACATATTTTATGAATATTTTAATATTACAGTTTTAATTTATTGTAAGTATTAAAGTAAAGTATACATGTTATTATTAAAATAATTAAATGATTATATATAAATTCAATCGCATTAAAATAAATTATATAATTATATAATATAAATAAAATCAGTCTCAAAATAAAATATTATATTATTTTATAATTTAATTAATAATACAGTTTGTAGTAAACACACACACGCTTTCTACTTAGAAAGCTTATCGTCGTAAAACACGTTACATTGTAAAGAGCCACGATCAATGTTCCTCGGACAAAGGTGAACGAGAGAGGCCATATTCAAATTCACCACGAAATATGCAATTTATATGGAAACACCGGAAAATCCTATCACACGCCTGACCTCGACCGACTTGTTACCTACTCGCTAATTACGGCATCACAATTGCACGTCATATTTTTGGAGTGACGGCAAAAAGTACCCAACGATTATGATTACGGCATTCGAGCGTGCGCGAACGTTGAAAATTACGCTCGCCCGTTTGTCTGGAACAATTATTACAGCAATCGCTCCGGACATTGTTGCGCGAGCGACCATTGCCATAATCGTTTGCCCGAGACGCAAACTGCATGTATCCGATCAATAATGTTTATAAACTACAAGCAACGATTTAGGAAATGATCGATTATTCACTATTACATGAGGAAATTTGATTGAAAAATCAGATAATTTCATGATATATCTTTTTTGTCTGCTTATTTAAAATAATCACAATGAATCCCGATAATTATACCACCAATATATGATATGTCTAGCTTCTGTCTATGTTCATATTTTCTTCTATACCTTTGTCTATTTTACACTTCGTTTGCATACGTTTTTTGCATTTTTTAATCTTATTTTACGTTCTACATATCATATATTCTAATATAATATACGTTCCATTTAATGTGTCTATCTTGCATTTTGTATTCTCTATTTATTTTGCATTTTACTTATCTTTGCTTTACTTTCATTTCATACCTTTAATTATGATATAGATATATCATAGCAACAGTCTTGCCTTTTGCGTAAACATTTCCGTTATTATAGTCACGTATATATATATATATATATATATATATTGCATTTTATAAAAACGTCGATTTGATAGAAAGTTGTCGTCCAAGCCAAGTCTTAATCGATTAACTTCTCATTTCCGCGGAAAACTTGTTCCGGAAATAGGAATTAAATAAGATTATCGAAAATAAAGTGCAATATCGATTAAATTATTGACTTAACATTAAATGTCACGCCACATTTTTATATTTACTAATAACTTCTTTCATTTTCTAAACTAAAGATCTTTTATATAATTCCGTGTTGTCATGCAAAAATGAAA